AAAAGAGACGACAGCTCATGGCAACTCTACAACAAGCAACATTAGCCATTCAACAGAGCCAGACTGAGGCCACAGCAATGCGCCAATCATACATGGGCCAACAGCAGTAAGAGAGTATGACCGTCTATGCGACCACTATATCGATATCAAGGACAGTTCCAGCAAACACAAAAAGCGCAAGCTTCCTCATCTCAAGAAGCGCCTAAGGAAACTGGAAAAGGACATGGAAATACCAAAGCGAAAGTATTGTGAGCGACAGCAGCAGCAGCATTGAATGATCAAGGAAAATAACTATGAAATAAAACTAAAGTAATGTGGCAGATTCCAAAGGCTCGTGCCTCTTTCTTTTCTTTCTGTTGTTTCTATTGATCTTGTTGATACGCGGCCGCTTCAGCTGGAAGCTCTCTACTCTGCGTGCCATGGCTTCACGGAGGTGGGAAAAGCCACCATGAAGGTCGCCATCTTCGCCTTCCAGTGCTGTTAGTTGGATGGGATCTCCGTTCTCATCATGGGGCACAGTAGGATGGTAGCCGGACTGCTCAGCACTCGCATCATAGGCAACATTTTCTCTGGGATCACGGGAAGTCTTCTTCAGCCTAAGTCTTTCATTGATGACAAATTGTGTAGTCGAGCAATGGCTTGGATCATGCCACCGACTCTAGTTATAGAAACACCCACGGATCTCCACAGAATGCCCCATTTCATTTGCATAAGGCCAAATGCATTTCCACGCGAATTCTAAGCTGACTGCTAAAGTTGAAGTTGTCGTACAGTGGGTTCAATCGATCAGTGCCTTGGTAGATGGGAACCATATGTTCGCTTGCCTGGTAAGCGGCATCGCCGATAACACAGATGCCTGGAGGCAGTGACTCTATTAGATTGTATAGATTGCACCTTCGAATTGCTTCCCTGTCCCCTGTTACTCCTGGAGATGTCAGTGCCAGAAAAGAAAAGCGGGAGTGGTGATCAGCGCAAGCTTGGATGTTAACACCATAGCACTGGTAGTGGCCTGAGAAGTAGGATCGGACGTTTCCTACATGTCTCTCTGCCGGTACTTTAATTCTCAATAGATAGCCATCTACCACACCAGCACAATTATTGATGGCGACTTCATCACTTATGCTGGCGAATCCGTCTATTGCCTCTTGGATGTCTTCTGGAGATGATGGGAAGTTAATAGAGAGCTGAGGACACTCATTCACTGTGTCAATTGTCTTCCAGACAACTCGATAGAAAGAAGGTTTGGACAATCCGGCTATGTCGCAAACGTCCAAATAAGATCCACCTGCCAACCAGCGAATAGTGCAGTACAGACATATCTCTGGGAGTATGGGACCACCTCTCTTGTTGGCAAACGTCTCACTCACTAGAAGGTCCTGGTAGAGATATCCCAGTAGAATATCAAATGATTCTTTCTCCATTCTAAGACGTCTTGCAAAGGTTCCTCTTTGAGCATGCTTCTCACTGTATTGATTCCATGCTAAACGCTGGTCGTACAGAGACTTTGCCCTGTTGACTGGAAAAAGCTTCAACACACACACAATTAGCAGGGTTAACAACAGTACGTCTGCATCAACCGCCCCAGCGGTAGCGCTTAATTCCAAAAAGGAATCCATGACAGTTATTGTGGCGATCCTTTGGTTGTGGATCTCTCTCGTTGATTAGTTTTCATAGCTTTCTAATCCTCTCATAACTTTCATTCTCTCAAACTCAAAACACTCGAAAGATCTTTACACTTGCTTTTAGCGTAGTGCACTTCCCATCATCTCCAGAAGACATCCAAGAGGCAATAGACGGATTCGCCAGCATAAGTGATGAAGTCGCCATCAATAATTGTGCTGGTGTGGTAGATGGCTATCTATTGAGAATTAAAGTACCGGCAGAGAGACATGTAGGAAACGTCCGATCCTACTTCTCAGGCCACTACCAGTGCTATGGTGTTAACATCCAAGCTTGCGCTGATCACCGCTCCCGCTTTTCTTTTCTGGCACTGACATCTCCAGGAGTAACAGGGGACAGGGAAGCAATTCGAAGGTGCAATCTATACAATCTAATAGAGTCACTGCCTCCAGGCATCTGTGTTATCGGCGATGCCGCTTACCAGGCAAGCGAACATATGGTTCCCATCTACCAAGGCACTGATCGATTGAACCCACTGTACGACAACTTCAACTTTTATGGCAGTCAGCTTAGAATTCGCGTGGAAATGGCATTTGGCCTTATGCAAATGAAATGGGGCATTCTGTGGAGATCCGTGGGTGTTTCTATAACTAGAGTCGGTGGCATGATCCAAGCCATTGCTCGACTACACAACTTTGTCATCAATGAAAGACTTAGGCTGAAGAAGACTTCCCGTGATCCCAGAGAAAATGTTGCCTATGATGCGAGTGCTGAGCAGTCCGGCTACCATCCTACTGTGCCCCATGATGAGAACGGAGATCCCATCCAACTAACAGCACTGGAAGGCGAAGATGGCGACCTTCATAGTGGCTTTTCCCACCTCCGTGAAGCCATGGCACGCAGAGTAGAGAGCTTCCAGCTGAAGCGGCCGCGTATCAACAAGATCAATAGAAACAACAGAAAGAAAAGAAAGAGGCACGAGCCTTTGGAATCTGCCACATTACTTTAGTTTTATTTCATAGTTATTTTCCTTGATCATTCAATGCTGCTGCTGCTGTCGCTCACAATACTTTCGCCTTTGGGTATTTCCATGTCCTTTTCCAGTTTCCTTAGGCGCTTCTTGAGATGAGGAAGCTTGCGCTTTTTGTGTTTGCTGGAACTGTCCTTGATATCGATATAGTGGTCGCATAGACGGTCATACTCTCTGTACTGCTGTTGGCCCATGTATGATTGGCGCATTGCTGTGGCCTCAGTCTGGCTCTGTTGAATGGCTAATGTTGCTTGTTGTAGAGTTGCCATGAGCTGTCGGTCTCTTTTGGATCCACTTGTGACTTCTTCACTGTCAGAGTCGCGAGATGCAGGTGTTGAGGTTTTTTTGCTTGTGGGAGCTGAAGAGTCCGACATCAAACCTGGCGGCATGAAGACATTGTGAGCGGTGTCGATGTTGGGCTGCTCTTGCACTCTCTTGTCCAAGTAGTATACCGGCACGCCTGGCATTGTTGTCTTCCCACGAACTGTCAAGTGAGCCCTTCGGAGATAATCAGAGAAGACTTGGTGTTGCCCGGATTTGGTCTTTGCAATGATTACTTGCTCCCTTGCCTTCAGCAGGTCTTTCATGTGGGCTTGGCAGCTTTCGGCGGAGAGAATGCTGAAATCGTTTGGGTTGATTCCTTGCTCTTCTACGGCAGTGACCAGCCATTCATCTGGGTCAAGACCAACAGGGTTGGAATACAAAACAATGCCAATTGTCGCGTTGTTCTCTTGATCTGTAAAAGCAGCTGAGACCTCTGACCAAAAAGCCTTGATTGGACTTTGTCCAGAGTTTAGTTCAAAAGCGTTCCTATCGAATCGCTGGGTCAAAGCAACGAACCTGTCAAGGTACAGAGGGAGAAATACAGTGTTTATGAGCCGAATCAGCGACCTGATCTTTCTTTCCATAGTACTCGATACTGTACTGGGAACCTGCATATTGTCATAAGTGGTACCCATTTCAATTGCCAATGCCATCTGCCTGCGGCATTCGAACATGGAAACAGACCCAGTATTCTTACAGCCAAAGTTCTTGGTGAGCTGCCGTAGCTGTGCAGAGTTCAGATCTCCTGCCTTCAAGTCGAAGTACTTGTAATTGTCGGTGTTCTCTCTACCTACACGGATTCCCACTGCTGTTTTGAATGGCCCTTTGTCTGTTTTGCTTCTTTTATTCATGTCTTCTGCAATGACCACCCGGTTTCGATGCTCGAAAGTGAAACCCTTCAAGACGTTTGGAAGCTCTTTGATTTCCTTTGCTCTTGGGGCCTTCTTCAGTTGACCCGGTGCAAGGGGAGGTCGACCGTCTGTCTCAGCCACAGCTTCTTGCGTTGGTTGCGTAGCATTAGACGTTTGCGTAGCATTGGACGTTTCCGGGTATTGTACAGGTAGAGGCCCTGGTTCCTGCACGGGGAAACCTGCTGGTGTCAGATCAGGGTACACTCTTCTTCCTGGGAGGCCTGTATACTCTGGTCGAGCATTCCACAAGCTGTGACGAAAGTCGTTGACCATAATACTATTGGCTCCATGAGGAGGTGTCAACAGAGAGTAAAATCCACTGTTCGTGGATGTCATGGACTGTCTTGGTGGCCGTGGTGAAACAATGGGGGGGCTGGGAGCTGGTGCACGAGTTGTGAAGACTGCATCTTCATCATCAGCACCATCCCTGGCAGCAGCGACGGCAGGAGACTGTGCGAGTCGATCCGAGTGATTGTATTCGTCGTCTGATGATGATGAGCTCATTTTCAGCTACAATGTGAGCTCAGCATTACAATCACCAACTGCGCTTCAAGAACAATCCATTGGAGAGTTCGGCATCTCCAAAGACTCGCAGAACTACCTGGAGCGAATCCTTGGCCTACTTCTAATCTAACAAAGACATCTAAATTTCTAAAGAACAATTCTTTCTTACAGATCACATTATCTATCGCATTACTTGTCATCGCTTTATTGTTTATCATGCTACGAGTCTCACATTTCATGGTGCTTCTATCAAGACGAGAGACACAAGGTGTGATCAAAAAGAAGCAATCACCATCCACCATGCGCGAATTGGCGAAGGCGGTGGAGGTTCGAAGAAAAGTGTGGAACTGGAAAAATCTTCGCGGCACTGACGTCACGATTTGAATACCGCGAAGGTGCGAAATGGCGAAGATAGGAAAATGATAAGACCAAGCCTAAAGCTGGTTGCCGAACCAAGCTATCTACTAGCTAGCTAGTAGCTAGTATGAGCAATTTCGGGAAGAGGTTCCAGCCAGGCAGCGAGAGGCTCGATGCTACCGTACGGTATGGCTGGCTAGCTAGTAGTAAGGTTATGATACTGGGCCAGTACATGTAATAATAAGACGATTTTTGGTGGGTTTTCATTTGGTTGTTCTATCAGAAGGTTATGTTCTATCGTAATATATAGCTAGTGGTATGGTACAGTGAAAAAGGAGGAAAGGGGGAGGGAGTCCAGTGCATGCATTGTCCGTCTTGCTTGCTTCTTATGAGGAATCCTCGTCCTCGTCCTGGCATCCCGCCATGAGTGTTCGCCAGTACTCGGCAGCGGCATCGGCGTCCATGTAAACTCCCTTTTGTTCCACTTCGCCCTTGCCTTGCTTCTTAACGTTGTTCCAGTACTTGTCGGCACGGTTGCTGTCCAAGTAGGTTGCGTCGGTAATGGCGGCCATGATAACCTGTTGCTCTTCCACGGTGTATTCACGACGAGTGCTGCTGTTGGTGCTGCTGGTGCTGTTGCGAAGACTGGAGTCCATGTTGCGCTTGCTGCTGTTGTTCATCTTCTTGCTGCTGCCAAATAACTTCATGATTGATTGTAATTTGTTAGTTAGTTAGTTGGTAATAAGGTAGTAAGTTGGTAGTGTTTGTGTTGTTTTGAGCTTTGGAGCTTTTGAGTTTGTGAGATTGTGAGATTGTGAGAAGAGAAGGAGACGAAAGGAGGATCCTCCAATGCAGCCAACGAAGCCCTGGACAGGATCGTTCACTGGTAATTACCAAATCTTGTCAACCGAAAGAGTTGCATGGATGCGTCCTTCAACTAGAACGCTGGAATGACTGCTCTAACCTAAAAAGACTTCTCGATTCACACTGGTGTTAATTCAATACAACTGGACATGTAACTCCAGTCTTTGCTACGGTGATAATGTCCAGTACAGGATGCCGTAGAATCTACGACATGCTAAGTCTTTGTTGATCGAAAGCCCTGGACATTTAATATATTTTGTTGTATGCACTTATTGTCGGTGATCTGTCCAGGCGGCGCCGCTAATCGTGGACCAAGTCGCGTGGTAATAAGATTCAATGTGGTATTCGACGTGGTTCATTGGAACTCGATGATCGAACCCGCAAGGAAATTAAGGTATTAGAGGTCCAATTGACAATTTCACTGACACTTGAACCAAGGAGCTATCGAGGAAAGATACTTATCAACACCTTGACAAATTAAGCATATTTCTGTCGCCTTTGGCAACGAATCTTGTATGGAGCAAGCTGGAGCATCTGACACCAATTGCCTGGGTCCTCATGCAACAGCAATGATCGATAAGCCAATACTTATTGGAGCTCTTTTTCGGCGTTCGTTTTGCCTTCAGTTTACATAACAACCAAAAGAATGAAATCTTGGGAGAACATGGTGATAATCCAATACAACGCACCAAGCCATGACTCGTCAGATCCTAGGCATTGCAAAGCTCCAAAACGCCAAAGATCAGTTATGTGAAGGCAGCTGTGGCGGCACAGCGCATCCTGCATGCTGTGATTGAAACATTGGCACCGCAACACCTCGACACTCCAAGCGACAAGATTGCTTCCCAAGCGGCTTTCCAACAAGGCAATCAATGTAACGTGAGGGCTATTCGCTTCTTTTGTTGCCTTGAGTTTTCTCTCCCTGGACCTTGAAGCTTCTCTGCTTCGACGAGAAGACAAGGGGACTTCTTTGGGTACAGTCGTACAGCCAGTCATGTGAGCTACAGTATGCATGATGCAATCAATCTGACGTTGCTTTGACATAGCCAAGATCCCCACCCAAGTCTTGTCCAACATTCCAGCATTCCTTCCTTATTTCGCTGTAGGCCAATCCTCGAGCTCTGAAAGTCTGGAAGTGATTGACGACACTCGAGGTTCTCGTTCCAATTCTATTAAATTTTGCAATTGCCACTTCGGATCTTACTTCATAGATTGGATTCGAGTTCCAGTGTAGCATTGATCAGCTCTGGGTGTTGGGTCTTGATGAGCTTGGGATCACCAAAATGTCGTTACGAATACAAAGAGCAAAAGGATCCTCTTGGACTTCTTCCTCTAGTAGAGTCTTGGGACTACCTAGCTAGCTAGGCAGTTCAATAATAATTGCAGTGGGACAAACGGTGGTGGTGGAGGAACCTTGGATGCCTTCCTTGCTTCCATTCTTCCATATCCACCATGCTTGGATTCCATATCCACCAAGACTACTTGTGCCTGGTTCATCAACTGCCTCGGACAACCAAAGCCAGATCACTGCTAGATCTCTCCTTCCACCTACTGGAGTTGCCACCGTAGATCTAGCTGGAGTTGCCACCGTAGTAGCTGGCTAGAGGTGCTGGTTCGGATGGGTAAGTTTATTTCCTCGCCAAATTTCCACGATGGCGGGCCACCCCAAATTGATCAAACCAGCTAGCCTGCTTTATATTCGTGCTGACGAACCCACCTGTGACAAACCCAACCACGACAACCAATACATGGTGCGTTGTGACTAGCAAAGAATGTAGACAACTCTAGATAGTTAGCTTGGTTGTAAAGGTGCTATATTGGTGAGTTTATAGTCTTCCAGTAGTCCTTTCTAGACCAAAAGAACCCCAGGCACTCTATCACAGTATCATCCATCCACCTATCATGAACAGGCTTGTACCAGTTCTCTCCCTCAAATGAATAAAAGAATGTAGCCAGAGCAAAAAACTGTGTCTTTCTCCATTCTGGAAGGAACGTGATGTTCCGATGGTTGCCTCGCCAATTCCATGCTTTCCAGTGAGGTGCGTCACTGCTATTGTTGGTGCTTGCCAATGTGTAGTCTGGTAGACTATCCAACAATGAGTCGAGAACGCCAGTGGGGGCAGAGGAAGGTACCTCAGATGGTTCCATGGAAAGAAAGACTGTAGGCATGGGTGTATCAGAAATACAACTCGATTCATTGTCGTTCAGTACCAATGATGGCAGCGGCCGCCAAAACCAACAATACCAAAATAAAGCCAAACGTCTTCTGCTGATTTCTGATTCTTTCTTGTTTTTCTTTCTCTGCTCTCTGACATTGATGGGATTGGCATGCAGTGTAGGAGCGTGCTGGGTCTGTTGAAAGCATATTTCAAGTTGTGTTGTTGCTTGATGCTTTCGTCATTCTCCAAAATTTGTGCTGTCGCCAAACTGGCCTGATCTGCCACTATGTTCATGATTTCTTCTTCATTTATTTTCTCCTGGGTTGATGTTTGCTGTGGCTTGCTGCTGTTTCTGCTGGTTGGTAGTCCACTCAGTCTTTACACTTCGCCCTATGGTGCAAGACGTGGACGATTTTCCAGGGGTCTTCTTGCCTGGCAGTTTTTTTGACAGCTTCTTATTCTATATTTTCCCTCTGCTCTCGTGTATGCGGTTGAATGGTCCTGTTGGTATTGTAAGGCTTCTGCCTCAGCTCTCTTGATCAGAGCATTCCATATGCCTGAGTCCCTGCTCGAGTTCTCGGCATCGCTACAGTCGTGGTCACCAGTGTTCCCAGCATCTTCCTTCCCGTTCGTTTCTTCTTCTGTCATCCCTGCCTGTTGTTGTGTCTTTCAAGAAGGAATAACAGAGAGCGGTTGGAGGGAACTATGCGGGGGTTGAAGGCCAGAGGCCAGGCGAGCTCTAGCTAGGGCTTCGCCGCTGCTGTTGAGGTGATGTAATGGGAAAGTGAGCTCTTGCCCGTGCCACGACATTGTGTTTGAGAGGCTCCCGTGTCCCAGCTCTCAAGGTTTCCAAAGGTTGGGATGACGGTGGTGCCCTCGATCTCTTCCACTAGTCTTGATCCTTTGCTCCTCCCTGCACTCCTGCCTTCACCCCTTTCCTTGGCTTCCATGTTGCCCTGCTTGTGCACTTGATTGCTTGCCTTGCGTTCCTGCATCGTGCCCTCCCCTCTCTGTTCCCATCCTCATATTAGCTCTCTCTAACCCATAGTAACTTTCCCGAAAGTGAGGGTGATGCAGCAATTCTTCGCACAGGAACCTCCAAGTGTGACTGGACTCGATGGACATCAACTCGACAAGGGTTACTCAAGCCCGCAACCGGCAGAAACCTGGCGACAACACTTGCATGAATGCCGTTCCGTCTCCGGGACAGGTCACCCGGTGGATCGATTTGCCTGGCGACGGTTTTGTATTTTCTGTGGGTTGTCATTTCAAAAGCAAGACCTAGCTAGCTGTTGGTCGACTGTCCAGCATTTGTCCTTTGTCGCCGATGAGCACTCCGAGACTGGCCGCTGCCTGACTGCCAGCATGCAGGTGAAGGTCGTCCCTGATTTCTTGACTGTTTCAAGGTTTGCCCTGCAAGTTCGTCATTGCACGCTGCAAACGAGTGACAGCTTGAATCGATTGGAATCGCTTGGTAGGTCGAGCCATCATAGTGTGACACGAAAAAACACTTGCGAGACCTAGTGGCAGTCATCATGGAGCGTCCGTTTTTAAAGGATGTCATATAGGCTGTATAGGAGTGAGCCCGGCAAAGGATCATCGTGTCATCTACCTGCTCGTCGATGGCGTGGATGGAACCGTGGCGGTGACGGAAGACAGCAATGAGGAGCCGTGCAACTGAGCATTTACGTGGGGTTTTGCTTTCGTTTTCATCATTGCATCTATGCATGGTTTGCCTTCCATTGCTGCCGCTGTCGGAGCTTTGCAGTTGCCAGCGGATTTTTAAAATCACAAGCCTTTCGAATGGCGATCTTGCACGCAACGGGCGGAACATCACGCACGCACAAAGATGAACGAGCGACATGATAGTCCCCGCCGGGGGTGGCACAAACTAACTGTTACTGTCTTATCTCGCGTTTTCCCGCATTATCGCCGAAAAAGAAGGTCGGTTGAAAATGGTAAACAATGGTAAACAATGGTAGAAATGGAAAGGCGGTAGAACAGGCTGTTGAAGGCGGTAGCAGGCGGTAAAACAAGCCTGCTAAAATCCCTAAGCAATCCAGGTTTTGTTCCCCACTCCCAAAGTATCATTGGAACAGGCACAATCACATCCACACAGAGCAGAGGTACAGTCAAACCCAAGAAAACAGGTGTAATCTCCACTGCCAGGCCAAGGTTCATAAGAACAAGAAGAATTTTGCAAGAAACAGAACTCCACCG